GTAGCCCTTCATGGGCCTACCTCTTTCTTCCTAATTGCCGTCACGTACAGGAAAATTTTCTGACCCACTGCTACCCCACAGGAGTGCAGCACAGAAAACAGAGGCCTGAAGGCCTCCAGAGGTGGCTCTCCAGCTGTTGCTGGTGCCTGCGCTGTCTTGGCCAAACTCATTTTAAATCTCCTAGTGAAGGGAGTTCCTGGCTGAAGATTGTGCCATTGCTCATCTTACTATTTATTTTATCTATTTGTACATTACTATACACATAATGTATACGTTACTACATATTATATTCCTCACTGGCTGTACGTATTGGCTTCCCCGACAGGGACTGTTCCTTGACAGCCATACTACACTTCTTCCCCGCGCCGCCCCTAGGTTCATTTGCACGCACCAGGTTACCTTCCTGCAGACAGGCGGCAGCCTGGAAATCAATGGCAAAACTCCTGCTGACTTCCACATGAGGAAAATTTCAATAACAGGATACTCGTTTCTTTTATGGCATGGGCACTGTTATGTAACTTTGGCTAGGTACGCATGTATCTATGTATGTGGACATACACTCACAGACGTATTACTCCTTCCAGCTATATATGCAGGGCTCTTATTTTTCCCACCAGTCAATCCCTCTAGCTTCTGAAACATTTCACCTCATTTTCTGCGGACTCTTTGTAACTAGGTACTGACTTTCCAGAAATCACACCTCCAAACTTGGTGCAGCCGTGGTTTCCACCCGCGTGGCACGCCCTGCCCGCACCACATCCCCAGGCTGCCTCGCGGCTCCGCAGAGCTGCGGCACGGCCACCCTCAGCCAGCGCCTCCAGGCCCCTTCCCCTCGCCTGCCTTAGGAGCCGCTCTGTCCTTCCCTGCCAGACTCTGCCCATCACCTCTAGGAGTTCTGACTTTGGTTTTAGCTTTTAGATGCCTTATTTTTGGCCTGTCATTTAAATTCCTTTTGAGTCATTGTTATTATTGAGCCAACATTTTATAAATAGCTCTATGCATTGCAGGTATATGATAATCGCGTCCTTTGATTTTTGTGCAATTTGGTTACGAAATGGTAAGAATAAAAAGAGTGCAAGCATCATGGAATGCCCAGGAAATGTTTCCATAGTTAAAGGTTTGGGGAGACAGATTCAGAATCTGTAAGAATTTATGATTGTTAGTAATGGGTGTTATGGTTTACCTTTACAGCACTAAACGGTGAGGTGTTAGAACAGCTAAGAGGCAATAACTAGGGGTTGTTTTTCAGAAATATAATCGTCTTTTAAAAGGAAGAGAAGAAAAAGCATTTTTTGTGCGTAGACTATTTATTAAAAATAATGCATAAAACTTCAGTTGTATACATTACTTCTAGTGTGATGTAAAGAAATAGAAAAAGGCTAGAGAGCTTATTCTTACAGCTGCAAATTGTGTGTGTATCTGTGTGTACATATAGGCATTATCTGTTTTCAGTTTCTTCAAGAAAACTCTGTGAACCACCTCAACTGACACAAAAGACAATGACCTGCAATGGGAAGAAATCCTACGCTCCCTGCAAAATCAGGTGGGGTCTTGAAAAAGGAAAGCAGGACTCATCCCAGTGAAAGGCGCCTGCAGAACTGCACGTATTATCTGCATGCAATACTGTGTACATTTATTTTGGGGAAATTTGCAGGCAGCGAGAGGAATCACAGCACCAGTCATAAAGACGTGCTGAGCCTTCGCAGCCCCTGCTGAGGTGGGTGGGGGTTTTGCCTCTCCGGGGCTGTACAAGTGGGGCTCTGGACAGCACGCTGCAGCCTCTGGTCAGAGATACGTACAGTGATACGGATATTCCACTCAGACATATGCATAGGGGCTGCAGCATTTGCGGAAAAAGCACCTGAAATCAAACTGAAGCCCTCATCTCATACCATGGGGCCTTGCTAAGAGGAGCAGCGCTTCCTTCTACACGCGGACCCCAGCAGGGCCACTCCCTCGCCTGCCCAGGGACTCGTGCCTGCAGCTCCTCTCCCCTCTCTGCGGGTGCTGTGGGTGCACTGTGGGATGGCCACGGGGCAGTGCCCACTGTGGGAAGGTCCCAGCGTCCTTGGTCCCCTCACAGAGCAGGGCCACCCACTGCCAGCAGGGCACAGGCCGCGGCCACCCCATGCCAGTCAAAATGCAGCTGGGCCTGGCGCGGCCAAGACTTACCTAGGGAGCAGCTGTGTAAAGTGACCCAGGGATATAAATCTTCAGAGGATTATGGCCCTTAAAAATAGGCTAAGTTCAAGTAATTATTTTTGGGCTGATTCTTTATTTAATTTTCTACCAGGATGCAGATTACAAAAACAATTTTAGAACAGATATTTAGTATTCTAAATTAATTAAATACGCACTCACCAAAATAGCTGTTAGCACACAGTTGGTGCTGCCACAAACCTCATTCTAAAATGTCATCTTAGAAAATACTCGCACCGGTACAATTGAATACCCTTATTTATAAAGTAATTCTTTATTATGTTGCTCTATAGATTTCTAGTATATTTTTGCTGTTAACAAAATATTGTTAGACTACTAAAGGCAGGGGGATTTTAGGCTCATTTTTTAGCACACAGGATTCTGGATTTCTAAAAATCAAAAAATAAGAAGTGTAGAGTTGTAAACATCCCTTTCGCTAAGGGTCTAATCTTTCCCGCAGTTAAATCGATTGGGGCTTTGCTATGGCATTGAATGATGGTGTATGGCCCCAAATATTTTGGATTTAACAGGAGCAACCTTGCTTCTCAGAGCAGTCCCACAGAAGCTCCACATAGTCAGGGGATCAGGCCCACAGCATAAACAGCCTCTTCTGAGAGACAAGGTGCTCAGAAACCAATGCTTCTGCCCTTCAATAGCCGTACGTGACAGACCCTAGAACCGCTAATGAACCTGAGGAGGGCAATTCTGAGATCATGCCATTGGGAAACGTAATTCGAAGAGCTCCTATGCTACTGAGCATTTAAACAATGTTTTATGATCATTTTGGTGAGCATATCCAGCACTTCTCCGATCAGACCTTACAGTTTCACTCTTTTAAACCCATAACATGACAAATCCCGAAAGATTTTAGAGAAAAGAAAGCTACAATCATCAAAACATTAATTTTGACAAAGAGTGCATGCATTAAAAATGCATTAACCCTGTCATTAAGGCATTATTCAGCAAAAACAGCTAATCATGCTAAACAGAGAGCAACTATAAGAAACCAGGTATAAAGGAACATTTCGCTAAGCTTGCATTTATGGGTAACAGTCCAGTCTGTACTGCACGAGATACTCAACCAAGCGAAGAGCAAACAAAACCACATCCTTTATGTGATGAAATGGGAACTCCTGATAATACTCTAAGTCATGACTCAAGGGAAAATGTCAACTAAAAGCTCAGATCAGAGGAAGGTTTGTAATACAAACCTGGATGTTTAAAATAGTGTTTCCATCGCTGTTGTTGCAGCACTTGTGAATGCGGATGTGTTACGGTGCTGAACTGACTATGATTTAGCAGCTGATCGTGTCTTTTTAAAGCATAATTTAGCATTATTTCTGAGGCTGTTGAACATACTAACTACAAGAAAAAAAAATCTGCTTTCAAGTGGTATTAGAGAAACACGGGGATCAGAGTACTAGCATCAAAGATGTGTCTAAAGAATAACAGATCCACACGTCTGCGTAACAATGAGAGCTCCACGCGCTATTGAAGGCAACAGAGTAAGATTCCTTTGGCAGTTGTTTGAAATAATTAAGCAGAACATAGATGGCCTTTCAATTGCTAAGCAAGAGAGAGAGTGAAAGACATTCTCCATGATCCTGCCTCGCACTCACAACTGAACGATCACCCCACATCTGGCTTGCCCGTATTAAAAATCATTCTCATGCTCATCCAAGCTGAGCCTGGGGAAGGATCCGTTCAAAAAGGCTAACTCATCACAGTGCCCTTGGTCTTGCTTTAAAATGGCTTCTGATCTAATCCATGTAAGGCTGAAATGCGGTCTCACACTTGCCATTATGTGGCAACAAGACCTGGGATCATGGGGGTGTGCAGAGAGGTCTTGAGCCGGGAACGGAAAGGCGATCACCCCCTGCTCCTTGCTTTTAGTAGTCTTGGAGGTAGGAGAGCAGGGGAAAATGCTATGCCTTGGTTTTCCTAAGCACTGCATCCAAAAAACTGGCCAGGCTTTTTACCAAAGCCCATACCCTGCTGCTGAGATTGGCGAGAGGGACGGATGCACCTGTTCTGTGTTAAAGCAACGTGCACGGCTGGGACAGTAACGGGAACCAACACTTGTGCTTGCATCTCCCACCTGCGGGTACCTTTGGGGGAGCCCTCAGCCCTTTGAGGGGGCAGAGCAGCCACCACCTGCGCCCCGGCAGGGAACCAACCCCTCGGCCTTAATTCCGCCCTCACCACGTCGTTACCGGGGGGCAAGGATTAGGGAGGGGGCTGCCACCCCCCTCGAAGCAACCGGCCACAACCGGCAGCCCCTCGGCGCCCCCGCAGCCAGGGCAGGGGGCGGAGGAGGGGGCTCGGTGCTCGCCAGCTCCCCCCCCGCACGGCCCGGCTGCTGCGGGCACGGGGCCGCGGCCGCCCCCCCGGAGCCCGGCTGGGGAGGGGGCGGCATCCCGGGCCCCGCCGCCGGCTGCGGGCGGAGCCGCTGCCGCCCCTGCCCCGCGGGCAGCCCCTGTGCCGGGGGGAGGACGGAGGGGGGGGACCCGGGGGAAGGGAGGGGACCCTCGGCAGGCGGGGCCCCCATCCCCGCCCCTCTCTCCCCGCCGGAGAGGGGCGAGGGGCGGCGGGCGCGGCGCGGGCTGGGGGTCCCCGGGAGGGACAGAACCGGCCCCGGTCCCACGCCCCCCTCTCCCCCCCCAACCCCCCATACACACACGCACCCACGGACGGGCACCCCCCCCGCAAGGGACGGGGCGTCCGAGTTCCCCCCCCGCCCGGCAGAGACCCAGACAGAGCGACACATTGCAAAGCGTAGGAAAAGATGGAAAAGGTGCTACCTTGGCAACTAGAGGAGGTTGGGAGCCAGCTGGTGGGCTGGGGGCGGTCGCGCTGCCTGCCTGCCTGCCCGCCGCCGGTACTCTCCTCGACTACGCGTATTCTTAAGCAATAACAACGTAATCCGTATTATCCACCCAAGAATACCCGTCACCGAAGAGAGTCAGAAAGCTGCCGCTGCTGCTGGAAGTGCTGCACCGGGGCAATAAATCCATAACTATAATTCCCCTCTAGCAGAAGGAGAATCCACAAGGGTAGCCGAGCGGTCCCGTCCCATATCCAGCGGGCGCGGTGCCTTCCCGTCCTGCGGAGGCAAAGGAGAGGAGCGGGCGTTTAACACACGCGGACGGGTCCTCTGCGCTCCCGCTGCCTTGCCGGGGCGGGCAGGGTCCTGCAGGCAAGGCGAGAGGGAATCAAAGTAAGGCTGAGTTTACCTGGTGGTTGCCCGGTCTCTTCCTCCGCGCTTCTCCGGCATCCTATTCCCTAGCTGTATGCTCCACCAGCTCTCCCTGGGAGCTCGCGAGGGATGTCACACGCAGCAACAGATCCCTGTAAAAGAGACGCACGGTTAAGCACACAAATATTACCAATCTGTTTGCATAGGTGGGCTCGGAAGAGCTCCGATACGGCAGCGGCCACGCCTGAGAGACTTTTTCGTCCGGGCTTTGCGAACGCGTTTTACGAGTCCTGACTCACAGTGACTCGCCGCGCTACCGAGAGAGAGGAGGGCGGGCGGGGAGGAAGGAAGGAAAGCGACGGAGAGAAAGGAAAACCGAGCGAGAGGCAGCGAGGGCTCGGCGCTGAGCAGCGGCGCTCCCCCGCCAGGCCCCGCGCCCCGGGGAGCGCCCAGCCCCGAGGCAGCCGGAGCGCACCGCGGCGCAGAGGACCCGGAGCGCGAAGAAAAGAAGTTCTCGCCAAATCGCGCCTGCGGCTCTGCCCGTCACCCGGAGCCGTTCCCTTATCAGCAGCGCTCGTACTTGGGGGAGGCGGAAAGGGGGAAGCTTTGTCTGCTGATCTGCCGCGGCGATAATAAACGTTTATTGTTCGCCAACTAAACAGAAAGGGTCTCTGCAACGTCACGGCACGGCACACTTCGCCTGGCGATCAGGAACTTCTCCGTCTCATTTCCCCCCAGCTCCTAAGGCTAAGGACAGCTCCCGTGCGAGTGCCGGGGGGGGGCCGGGAGCCAGCACCGCGCGGCCACAGCTCCCGCACCCCGCAGGGGCGCCCCGCGCTCCCCCGGCCAGCAGGGACTGCGCAGCACGCACAGCGCTCCTCAGCCCTGGCGCTCTGCGACCGACCAGCTTGTTGATTAGATTCCAAATGAAATGAATGCAAGACGCTGGCTTTTACTCCAGATTCCTTCCTCAACACGAGCTCTCGGCTCCCTTGACGTATTGCCACTATGCTTCCTCCGAAAAGCCACGAGAAGATTGCGTTTGTTTTGTACCACAGGCTCGTGCCTCTTTGAAAGAAAGGAGAAAAACAAAGGGAGAGAAAAAAAAACCAACAACATCCACAAACCACACCACTTTGACAGCCACGTTACCTTAAATAAAATTAAAAAAAAATAATAATCCAACTCTCCTCTATTTTAATCTCCTTTTAGGTGTAATTTCCTATATTCCTCTAACGCAGGAAGCTTTGAAGTTACATTTTAAATGGCAGATAGAAAGTAAATAACAAACACTATAATTTTTCCCCGCTGTGAAATTGAAGGCTGTAACCCCATTAGCCGCCGTTAGAACTGAAATAACTGATGCCGTGGGTTGCCTTCAACTTGAACAAAAGCCGCTTGGAAAAGTAAAATGCACCGAGTCGTGGCGAAAACACGCTACGTGGTACACCTAGGCTGGTATTCTCCGAAATTTGGAGGCGCTCCACAAATGCATCGAGAATCAGGCAGAAATCCAAACTTCGCGTTTTTTAAAGCAAAATAAATAAATAATAATAATTAAAAAAAAAATAAAGAGTGCGATTCCCGCAGCAAAGAAAACCCGCGCGGCTCCATCCTCACCCTAGCCCCGTCCCTCCGACACTGCCCTTCCCCTCCCTAAAAAAATCCCCCCCCCCCTCCATCCCCCTCGCTCCTCCGCCAATTCGGAGCCTTCCGAAACTTCCCCGCGCCCCTGCCCGGCCCCGGCCCGGCCCGGCAGCCGCGGGCCTTCAGCACCGAGCACCGGACAGCTCCGCACCGGCTCCCAGCCCCGCCGCAGCCCCGCCGCCGCCGCCCCGCTCGCCCCCGGCCCCCCGCGCAGCGCCCACCTCGCACCTCCGCCGCCGCATGCGGGCAGCGCCGGTGGCGGCGCAGCCTCGGCGTTAAATACCTTTGTTCGGCGGCTCCCGAAAGCCATGTTTTATCCGGCGCTGCCGCCCCGCTCCCCCGCCGAAAGAGCCCCCCGAGCCGGAGACCCGGCCCCGGGGAGGCCGAGGAAGGGCCCCCGGGGGCGCCTGCAGCGGCTGTGCCGTGCCCGGGGAGGGGGGGACGGAAGGGAGGGGAACGGGTGGAGGGGATGAAACAATTAAGCTATCAGGAGCGGAGCTCCGAGCAGAGCTCGGGTTTGCCACGAAAAGCAAATTTCAGAGGGGGGGAGGATATCGATCCCAGAGCCCATCCGTCAATAGAGAGGCGCGGTATCTCTCCGTGCGAGAAATTGTTCGGAATTAGGGGGCTCGCGGGTGGGAGGGGGGCATGGGGGGGGAGGGGGGGGGGGGAGAGAGAGAGAACGCGACAAAAAAAAAAAAAAAAAAAGAAAGAAAAGAGGAAGAAGAAAATATTAATCCCCGCTAAAAGGCAGGCTCTTTTTAAAATCTCTGGAAGCTTGCTCTCTTCGCCACCTACCCGAGTAACCACCAGAAATCCACCTCTATTGAAGTGCTTACCCTTTAAATCCAGGTTTCAAGCAGAACTCCAACTGTGTGTAAAACCAGGGAGTCATCTGATGTGTGATGGGGAACGGGCTCTGGGCAGCAGAAAGCAGCTTTCTCTCCTGGTGCCGGATTACCATGTTAACAAACCCCGGGAAGGGACCCCGGCGCCTCTGGCTGGCCGTGTCTCGTTGCTTTCACACATCGGCGGCTGCTCTTGCTTCCCATGTCCCCGGCGATCGCTTCTCAGCTGAATGTGGGCTTCCAGAAAAGGAGTCGGGGGGGAGAGGAGGAAAAAAAAATCGCCTAATGCAATCAAATCGATCTGATCTACACCATCTGTCGCCTGCCACTACACACAAGCGTTAAAATAGGAAAACGGGAGACACTGACAGCTCAGGAAGGTTGTTCTGCAGAGTTCATTTTTAGCAGAGCATAATTGGGTATGGACAGCATACAGTTACCAAAGCTGCTGTTAACCATCCAGTAGAGGATCCCAAACATGCTAATGGTGGATTAATTGAGGAAGATCTGACGTGCAAGCTTCATAGTCTCTTATTCATGACTTCCCAACGGGAAAGGACCAATGCCGTGTGGGACTATGGTAACACAGAGTCAAAGAGCTGCTAAGAAAATGGCTCTGTGTTCATAGCACTTCTCTCTGATAACAAACATATGTCGACCAGAACCGTTTAGCAGGATGGGGGAAATGAAATTTTCTTAGCCGAGGTTAGCAATTCCCATCGCTTGCACTTAAAGACAAGCAAAAAATGGACTGCGGGTCTAAGACGCTTTCGAGTGCTGGTCTCGGGATTCGCAGCTAGTGAAAGCAGACGGCTCCTGCTCAAACGGGGGTTAGACCCCAAATCTCTGACTTCTTACTGTGACCAAAGTGCATCCATAGCAAGTCTCTAAACATGCAGCGCTGCTAATTTCATCAGGAATGACGCAAGGTCGTTTTAATGCCAGGAACCCTTTTGACTTTTTCCAGCGGGAATTGCTTTTGGGCAAGACATTTCCGATCAGTGAAATTTGACATAATCTCAGATAAATATGATCGGGGGGGGGGGGGGGGGGGGGGGAGAGAGAGAAAGGGGGCGGCGAGTTGGGAAGAGACGGAGTGTGCATCCAGACCTGCAATCACCCCTGCTGCCAACACTCCAATTTGCTCGCGTTTTCTAGTCTTTCCTGAATAATGAGCTTATAGAGACGTATATGTAATTATTAAAGCACTAGATATGCACGCGAGCCACAGACGGCTACGGCTGCCGCGTCTACCCAGGCAGACGGGGAGAGACAAAGTCCCCCCCGTAGGGGTGCGCTCCCGGGGCTGGGGGAAGGCGCTGCCAGGAGGACCCCCGGCCCCCGCGACCCCCGCAGCCGGGCGCAGACAACGGCCCCGTGCCCCTCACCGCCGCCCCAGGCGCCGGCGGCCTCCCTGAACCGAGGCTGCCGCGATCGCCGCCCCCAGCCCGGCAGCTCCTGCTCCTCGCCGGCTGGGCAGGGGGCTACCAACAGCCCCGGTGCGGGTCCGCCCGGCCGCACGTCCCCGTTCCGGTAAACAAGCGGTGTTACCGGGTAATCCTGGAGTTAACTGCGTGCCCCTCCTGCAAGTTTGTGTTAATCTCTTTAGAATAAATCTAACGGTTATGAATTAGATTAGCCTCGAAAACGTAGCCTAAAGACAAATCAAACAATTTAGCCGATCTTTTGTTTCAATATACATTAATTAAGCACCGCTGCCTACCTACACAGCATTCTTGGGTCCCGGCCACCGTGCCGAGCCAAGGAGCCTCGCTGCCTTTGTTAGCATCTGCGTCCAACTATTGCCCTCTGCAGGTCAACTCCCAGCCGCGGCAGGGACCGAGCGCAGCCAGGAGCTGCCGGGCTCCGCACCCCAGGGCCCCTTTCCGAAGAAAATCCGACTTCACCGGGGCCGATTCCCCACCACGAGGGCTCGGAAGTGGGGCTTTAGGAGGGGCAAGGAGCGTGGGGAGCCGGCACAGGCGGGCAGGGTGCGCTGCCCCGGCTGCCCTCCTGCACCCCCGGCCGGGAGGGGTTGGGGCAGGAGGGGGCAGGTACCGCTCTGAGGACACGTTGTCTTCTTTCTCCTTCTCCCCATATGACTAGGGGAAGCTGCTCGACCACAGCCTGCCCTTTCCACGGTTTGCCGAGGAACAAAGCGAGATCCCTCCCGGTCGGGGCGACTTTCCCACCAGGCACAACTTGAGAGTTGGCCTCTCCCGGTCCTGCTCCAAGGGAGAGCCCCGGGGAAGCGGGGGGCAGCGCCCACCCCTGCCGAGGGCAGCCCGGCAGCAGCCCCTCCCCACGGCCCCCGGCCCCGAGGGGCGGCTTTCTGCTCCCCAGGGGGGCAGCGACAACTTTCCGCACCTCCCGCAGCCCAAATCCTCCGTGCCCCCTTATTGGTAATGCACGCGATGCTCTACCAGAGGGGGGAAAAAAATATTAAAGCGATCTAATTAGCGTTGCTTATAATTCAATGACCGAGAAAGAAAAACGCTCTTTCTTTCTCCTATACCTGACCACAGGTTCACAACGACCCCCTGCTTTACCCCCTCTCTCTCTCCGCCCTACCCGGGGCTAGCAGCATTCACTCGGCCTTTGGCCGCCGCCCCGAGGACCGGCACCGGAGCCGCTCCCTCCGGCCAGGGCCGCCCCGTCCCCGCCGCAGGCTGCCCGCGGGGGCGGCCCCGCACAGCCCCGCACAGCCCCGCACCCCCGGCGCCTTTTGTCTGCGAGCAGCCGCCGCCGCCTCGCCCGCCCGGGGGCTCCGGGTCGCGCCGGCCTCGCCCCTCCCGGCGGGGCTGGGGGGCTCCGCGGAGCTGCGGCAGCGGGGGGCTGCGAGCCCCCGGCGGGGGGCTGGGGCCGAGCCCCCCGGAGCCGAGCCCCCCGCGGCCGCATCCCGCCTGCGCGGCGCGGCGGAGCCCCCTGCCGGCCGCCCGCAGAGGGGCGCGGGGTCCCGCCGGGGCTGGCGGGGATGGGGAGAGGGGTCCGGCCCCGGCACGCTGCGGGTTCAACGCCCCCCCGAGCGGTGCTGTCCAAAGAATGGAGAAAGAATGGAGCTGTTCTGGCTGCTTGAGGGCAGGGAAGGATTCCCTGGAAAGACTGAGAGTCGAGTGCTAGGCCGGTGGGATAATCGGGGAATTGAAGAGGCTCTCTTGAAGAAGGAACCTAAAAAAAAACCATACGTGACATAACTTGATACACATTGGGACTGGCTACTTCTTTTTTTCCAGAATGTGGCCAAGGTGCCCTAACTTGGCGATGTTCTGCATGTTACTTGGAAACACCAGGCCCATGTGGCCCGAGAGACTCACTCTGGTTTCTCAAGCATGATACCCATTTCACAGACCGATCAAGATCCATTTAAAAGGCACTCACTGTCTCTGGTCCTACTATTCCCCTTGGAAAGCTGTTCCAGAACCTCATAACTCAGCTTCTTAAGATTTCCAGCTTACATTTATTAGGGGCCCGTTTATATCCATTTGTTCAGATGCCAGTTTTGTCCTTGAACTTAATTAGTTCTGATATTTACTCCCCTCACAGTGTACTAATATTCCTTCTCGTCATTTCCTTTGTTTAAATCAAGCTTTTTAGTCTTGTCTCATAAGATAGAATCTTCATTTCCCTGATTATCCCAATATCCTAGCAACTTATGAAAACTGGGTCACGACCAACACCCAGAAAATACGGTTTTCAAAAGGGTTCATTATTCTACCCATTTTCAGTTTGACCAAGACACAAGCAGGGAGAATGATTAGCATAAGGTCAGACAAACCACAATTCTCCTGACTTCAAGTTCTTTCGCAATCTATCAGGGACATGAGTTCTGAAAGGCTTGTGGTTTATAACTTGGCATTACATCAATGCACATTTATATACCTATATATCATCATCTGGAGAGGAAGGGTGGCCTTGTAGTTAAGAGGGTACATTCAAAATCCAGAGATTTTGGTTTAAACACCAGGTCTGCCATAGGCAACAGGGGTATGTTTGGCAAGTCTTAAATCTTTTGCCACATTTCCCCAGTTTTAAAAGAGGAACAGCAATACTCTACCCTCATAATACACCTGCTTACACTGTGTGCTCTCAGACCAAGTGCCTCCTTGCTCTGTGCTGCCAGTGTCTGCCACTTTGAGTCCAAATCTGTCTCGGACTCTTACCTGACCATTAGAAATAGCCACTAGTCCTATAAAATCTTCTCTAAGGGTCTATCCTAAAAGCTGTTGGGCAGTAAATGTGGTTGGGATTGGAATTCCTGAGATCTGCAGCCCATTGATTATTAAAAAAAAATAAATAAATTGAACTATAACCAGAGGCCAGCAGTGAAGTCAGACATGCTTAACTGCAAAGCTGTATCCTGACTCCCAATTCTTAAGTCTTTGTCTGGTTGAAGACAAAGTCAGTCTTACTATTATTATTTAAACACACATGCACAATTTAATGCATTAGCTCTTCCAGTTTTCATTTCCGATGACAATTTTTGATCAGCTAATACAGCACAGAAAATAGACCAGAAATGGAAACCCTGACAGATCCTCAGCTTGAGTGGTCGCAGTAATAACAAATATTATCATTGTCCTTCCACTGCAGTCAGAGTTTGGAAGGTTGAGGCTGAGTGCAGAAACCAAGAGCACTCTATTGAGCTGAGGTGAAGCAATGATATTTATGGGAGTAATTATCACAGAGAAAAACTGGAAAAATATGATTACAGCAAACTGTAACTCTCCCAGATATGTTCTTCGTTGTTAGAAATAGCTCAGCTGAGACCGAACCAATATGAACAACAGACTGGGAGTGCCAGACACGGATTCTCTGGAGGCTGATAGGATCAGACCCTCCGAGCAGAACAGGCTCCAGCTTCAGCACGCTGGAGAGCCTGCGCCTGTCCCCAGCCCTTCTTGTCAGGTAAAGGCAGACTAACAAAATGAGAGCTGCCGGCTGGCAGTGCTGCCCCAGACCTGCTGGTAGCAGAGGTGGCTGTCTCGTGGAGCCGGACAGTTCTCCTGTGCTTTTCACCAGTGGTTGTAGCCAAAAAGTGCCACGAAGCAGCTGGCAGGAGATGCCCGGCTCCCAGAGCACAACTGCAGACGCAGCAGGGTGACAGGGCAGTGCTCAGTGCCCTTTGCTCTCCGTTCAACAGCACCATTCCTCACACCAGATGTGCCCAATGTGACACCTCACCCCAACCCCAGCCCCCCGGAGCAAGGGGCACCCCGGGCAGATGCCAGGCTGTGCTGGGTGCAGGGCCGTGAGCTGGACTGGGGTAGGTGAACCTCAGGACCTTACAGGAGATGGAAATTAGCTGTATGCTCTGCAAGCTCAGGGATTGCATAGAAGGAGAGGATATAATTAAGGAAAGCAATTCTCAAAGAGACGTGACCACTGGGCACCATGTATGCAGAGGGGTCTGGTGAACATGCCTTCTTACATAGGTGACACCTTGGCTTGATGAAAGCTGTCTGTGCTAGGGTGAGTGTTGGCTCTGAGTCGACTACTCGCAGGAGGGATTTTTAGCACACTTCCATGAGAGTAGTTTACATGCTTCGTGCAGCTAATATCTTGCAACTGATGTCTGGCAGTTTTTAGAAGCAGTAAGCAATCTTGTGTAAATTCAAAAACCTCACTTAATAAAAAGCGAGCTGTTCTCATTTAAATGTACCTACCCCATGGATCAGATGCATCAAAGAAGTTCTTCAGTCATCCTGAGAGCTCTGTAGGTGTTGTTGCTGCTCTCAAGTAGTCTGTGAGAAGAATTATAAAAGGTATTTACCTTTTAATTAAACAAAACATCTTACAAATTAAACACATGCTCTTGCACATCAAAATTTAGTTAGCATCCATTTTTATTGTGCATCCTATGACTCTCTGACAGCCTACCGAGTCCACAGCCAAATCTGAACACACATTGCTTGTTCCTTTTTCTCCCCTATGTTTTGGGCATCATGGGATAGATTTTACCACATCTGAGGGGAAAAAACATTTTGTAATTGATTGCTAATACTTAAGCAGACCTCCTGCTTCATATTTGTGTTGTTCTTTCAAAAAGAATAGAATACTTTATAAATATATATATATATAGGTGTGCCCTGGCAATGGCAGAGAAGCAGTTTTGGACACTTGTGTGACATATATCTTATTATCTTCTGTAAAAAAAATGACAGTGAATGACAGAACACCTTAGAGGGATTTAAGAAGATGATAAAGGCAACAGCTTTCACTTGAATACAGAGTTTAGTTCCTAACAGTTACAAGCTTTTTTTACATGTATCCTTGTAATTTGACATTTATAATTCACTGTAGTGCTGGATCTCTGTCATTTTCTCACTGTCAGGTTCTCTATATGTGGATGTACACATCCTTTCTAATTAGCGTATGTATCTGAACATTTAATCTCATCCTCTCTCTACCTTACTATGCAGTTACACATTTATCTGCTCTCTAACTAATACTTTTTAGGCAAGACATATATAGTTCCATGTCACCCTCTCTCTAAACAGGTTCCCAGATCTCTTTTTTAGCCATGAAACAATTTTGATGTAAAGAAAGACATGAATTCATAATGGATTTCCTGAAAGGTAAGAGACAGATAACCTGTGGCGGAACATTAACCCTTTATCTCTCTATCCTATTCATCTCTTATGCTGTATACCATCTTCCTCACAGGGAACCCTAAAGGCCTTTTTGGAGGCATTGATGCCTTTGCAGTGCTGATAAACGTTAGATCTCCTTTGCCCATGGAAGACCAGCACACAGACTTGACAAACCTTGCTCCAGGTGAACTCAGAAAGCAGCGAGACATCTGCAGCAAGCCCTGGGGTCACAGCACCTCACCCCAAGCCCACCCTAGATGCGATGAGTATGAAAAGACAAGCTGTGTGGCAGGCCTCTCACCACTGGATCATCATTTTGCATCAGCATCTGATGTGGTGCCACGCCATTGTCTGCCATTCCAGCTTATTAGTCAACTTAGTTGAGATTTAATGCAACTGAAATGAAAGCTTTTTCACTGTAAAGTTGAAGTGGGCTGTGAAGGACACATCTTTTAGTAATGCTCATACTGATGCTGAAGTCAAAGAAGGTGTTTATTCTGAGTGTTTTAAATAGTATGGCTTTATATTTGAAGTTGGAGATGTTCAAGTGTTTATAGCACATAAAGCAGAGAAGAAAAATTATAAACTGGTTTTTATTTGTGTGGTTGAATTAAAACATCTCTTTTACCGATATTTTAAAAGGTATGTTAGGAATTGTTTCAAAGCAAACTTTTCACAGCTTCCTGCTGTTCAAGAGTAAACACATTAATACAGATACCTGCAACCATTTTAAATGTTCATAATGTAACTTCTGACTTTGACAGATAGCAGGTTTACTTCAAGAAGAAAACAGGACCAGTATAGAAAAATTTGCCCGTATAATTGAGAAGAGCGTACAGAGGCAACAAGGATTATTTTAAAGAGTCTGGACATGGATGCATGTCCATTACTCATGCCATTCAGAGAAAGAGCTGCAATTGTAACAAACAACAGATCTGGACCTTAGGAATCAGGGGCCATGCCAGGCAGCAGAGCCCCTTGCTTCCTCCTTTGGGAAGCTGCAGTTCATGCTGCTGTGTCCCCAGCTGGCACGCTGCACTGACACAGAGCTTTCAACAGGGAAGGAAATTTGCTCAGGCCAACAGCTGCCACAGATATTGATTATTACTTCTGCTGATGTGTAAAACATATCTAGGCAGCAGAGAAATTTTGTTTCGGTATTTTTTTTCTGTTGGTCTACTTATTGATGTGTGACCTTCCACATGGTTTACACAAGAAGTGGAAAAAAGTCCACTTTGGTTTTGGAGCCCTCTATTCAGGGCAACTTTTTCCAAATGACCCAAATGTAACTGGTTTGAGGCTTACCTCTTTATATTACTTCAAGTGTCTTCTAAAATATTTGGGGGATTAGTAGTACCTACTGAAAAAAAAAAATAAGCTGATGATAAACTGTCATGGAAAATATAAATAGAATCAAATGGCATCTGGATTTTCTTATGTACAAAATGGAGTGCAAGCGGCTCAGTTATTTATACATTTAGAATAAAAACATATACATTGTATTTATACTCAAGATATTTTTATGTTAATCTTTAAGAACCACAATAAATTCCAGCTCTTGTTTAATTTCTTATTTGGTAAGAACTCCTGTTCAGTCAGTGAGGATTTACAGTGAGCAGAAAATGATTAAGGATTTCAGAAACCCTTGCCTGGGTCAGAGGGCTCTTTGGAAGGAAGACAAGTATGTGAAGCTTCAGGAATTTTTCCTGCAGAAACCAACTATGAGTTGGAGTGTTTCCAAAGCCAGGAAGCACAACGCATTGCCATTGCTGTACTTACAGAAGGGTATGGCATGGCATTAAGGAAATCCCCCCAAAATGATACAGATTAATTATAAAAGTCTGGGTAGCATAAGAAGTAAGACAAATCATTCTTCCACAAATGTGGACAAGTTTCTTTCATGATCATTATAGTTTTTGGCTACGGGTTCACTCTATCCTGAGTTTCTGTTTTGACAGGTTTTCTCCCTGGTCAGGTCACCCCCTGCTATTTCCAAGGCCCAGGGCCGCCAGCCTCTGCTTCAGCACCCTGAAGCGCTGGGTTCCTCTGGCAGGCCTAGGCCAGGCAGTGACACCGCCTCCTACATCCTCACCTCCTCGTGGAGGATCCTGACAGAGCCCAAAGGCGAGCAGGTGGCCCTGGGGCCACAGGGACAAATTCAGTGGCCATGGCCCTCACCTGAGCCCGCAGGAACACCTCAGCAGCTTTGTGCTCACCCACACCTGCATACAGTGCACAGCGCTGCTGCAGGAGTGAGCTTGCTAGCACGAGCATATATATCATTCTCTTTGATATATATCTCCTATTTTCTGATCCCATTACTTCAGATCAGCTCTAAGTCTTATATCTAAACAGTCAGTCCAAAGGGAAAGTCCCTATTTACAGGCTGGATTAAGAGCTTTAACAAAAGGCATGGCAGAAAGTGATTCATTTACTATATAAGAAAAAGGACTGCTTTGTATTTTATTGCTTGCTGGCATCCTCCAAGTCTTGTTCCTTTCTTCTCTGGCCTAAACAAGACAAGGGCTGGGAGGCTCCTGTGGGGCAGCACAGACAGAGGAAGCCCAGCAGCACAGTGCACAACTTGCCCTTGTTGCCCCTAAGGGCTTTCCTCCAGCTCCCAGCAGGGCTGCCAGACACGCACATGGCCAGCTGTGTGCTTCCACATTGCCAGCCTTCCCTGGGGCTTTTCTTAGGTGGCACAGGCCTGTCTGGGAGGAGAAGGCAGGGCTTTGCTGTTACCAGCCTAGCCCCAGCATGCTGGAGTGCTGGCTACCAGCACAGGACACAGGCAAAGAAGGGCCTCTCCATACAGGATTAGAGATTTTGGGGCAGATCAAGCATGAAAATTGAGTAAGGGTTAGCTGAGGCTGAGCAGAGTTTGCCAGTTTTGAAAAAGTGTATGATCTTAAAATTTGTGAACATGTTTCCTAACTATAACGCTTCTTGAATCAAAATCCTTTGTTTTAAAATGATTGAAAAGGATCATTTTAGCAGTTTCTAACAACTCATAGCTTATAATATTGAAAACCTACTTGTCTGAAAATAACTTATTTCTGCTTTTCTCCTACAAAAGGTGGAATAGAACAGTTCAGTCAGAAGGGGCCTACAAAGATCAAGTCCAACTGCATGCCTACTTCAGGGCTAACCAAGAGTCAAAGCATGCTACTGAGGGCATTGTCCAAAGGCCTCTTCAGCACTGACAGGCATAGGGCATCAGCCACCTCACTAGGAAGCCTGTCCCAGTGTCTGACCATTCCCATGGTAAAAAAAAAAAAAAATTCTTCCTTATATCTAGTCTGAACTTCCCCTGGCATAGCTTTGAGCCATTCACACACATCCTATCAGGTTGTGCTTAAAAACCAACCAGCAGTAAGCAAAAGTGAACTTTCACAAAGAAAGGGCCACTACGCAAACTATTTTGGTACAGAAACAGAGGTACAGAACAGCCCTACAGCATCCTTTGCTGACCCCACAACCCCTCACCTATTGCATGTACTTGTATCTCCATGCAGCTCAGATCCATGGCTCTTCTCATCAATCCTAAAGCCTTTCTTCACCTCCTGGAAAAACTCCCCTACTCCAACTTCCATCTCGGCAGGCAAATTTGATCTGAGGCAGTGAGACCCTTGTGGCCTCTTTAGTGTGTGTGTTAACCCAAGGCACCTGTGCAGGAGCCACCCAGGGTGAATGATCCTTCATTACCTCTGGTGTGGGAGATGGATAACACCATCCTGACGTCTCAGGGTGGTTTCATCTACACAGACATTCACATGATAAAACAATTAATCATGTCAACCAGCATTTTTCATTAGTGTGTCAGTGTGGGCAGGATGGTTTTAATGGCATTCATTTCTCATGGGTGCCTGTTTGGTTCATCCTACTTACATGCTCACGATTAACTGAATTACCAATTTCAGACACTGAAGGAAATTTCTTCCATTTTTTTCTTCAATTTATCAAGTCTCTGGCAGGGATTCTTGAGGCATTTTGTTCTTATCTCTGATGTGGGGCTCCAGCAAGTCATGCATGTTTTTCATTTAAGAGAATCCCTGCCCTAGCAGGAGCCTAGCACATGGGCACTGACCTCATTTGCACCTAATCTCGTATAGTGTCTGTTGTGGCATTTAGTCTCTTGCTTTTTATCTCATTTGGCACAAGGCTCTGAGACACATGGGACAGCCCGTGGCACCTGGCATTGTCCACAGCAGGTGCTATGTATCCAACCACGCCTGACTGCAGCAGCAGGGAGTTGGCTTTGCTGGCTCAGCTGGTCTCTTCTGGCCAGGAGTTCCCTTGTGATGTCCCCAGGGACCTCTCCCAGCTTCCAGCAGAGCTCATGCAACGCCTCCCACTTATTCCAGCAGGAGTCATACCAGACTGGGATGGAAGCACCTCTTTCCTTTTGCTCTCCGCCATCCAAGCACAAAGAGCTACCGGACCGATATTAGCTCCTTTCCAAGAAAAAATAACACAAATCCTTCATTTCATTGTACTTTTCCCCTCAATCCGAGTTTCTTTAATATGGCACATAGCTTGTCTTCTTCCTTTCTTAAAACTCTCTTGCCTTTTTGCAAAACAAGAGGACCTGCTGGTGCTTCTAAGTGGTCATAGGCAATGCAAAACAAGGCAGTGTGTTCCACGCTAAATCAACATTATAGTGAGGGATGAATAGAATCTACCCAACAGATATTTTATCATGAAAATTATTAAAATTCATAGCTTAGAGGTGTGAATGCTTCTTTAAGAAAGGTACTTATGTTATCCCCAAAATAGCACCACTACCATGTGATGTTCCAGTTGCTATGGTTACCACAAATTTGTTATTTAATAGCAAAGAAAATAGATGCACAAAACATGCTAATTATAACTGGTACAAATTTTTCTAAATGTTTTATATGAATATGCATGCATGTTTTATGCATAAGGAATAGGAATGCCCTTTTTCAAATAATTCTGCAAGTTTTTAGAAGGATTTTAGTAACTGGCTGGGAAGTACATTGTGTGGCTCTCAACAACAGAGGGAAAGGAGACTGAGCATTTGAAGATGGGCAATTTGTGTAAAACAATGCAGTTTTCTATTCAAATAGCAGGATAATCCTGAAAACCAAAGACGTTTAAATTTGTTGAACCCTTGTACTTTCCAGACTGTATTTGCTTTGCTTCCTCCTCTGCTCTTCACTGTGTTGAAAGCGTTCCCTCTCTGGATGGAAGTTTCTGGGAAAAAAAAATGCAGGACTGCTTGAAGCAAAGTCATGAAATTACCATGTTAATACAACCCTAATACAGAACCGACCCCGCTCAACACCACTTTATCCTATCTCCTGCACCTGCATGGAGCTCCAGGGCGCCCACAGGCTTCACAGCCGGTCCTGATGAGGCTGTGATGCTGCTGGGGTGGTCGGTGAGGTGCCCTCGGGGTGTGGTGCCCTCAGGGGACACCCAGGAGCCCATGCATATCCTGCCCATGCTCTGGGAAATATACCTGCTCCTGCTGTGGTCTCAGGGTCCTCCCCAGGCTGGGAGCCCAGGGGCACTTTGCAGCAGTACAGCACAAAAAGATGTGGCTTTTGGACTCGTGTGTATTGCAAGAAGTAAAGAGGGCTGGCCTGGGAAATGGAGAGCAGGGATGCATCCACGCTGGAAGGGATGTGTATGAGAACAGATTTCTCATAATTTCCCTTTCCCTTCTATTCTCCACTAGAAGTTCTTACCTATAAGTCTGGGGGACACAGTGCAACAGCACCCTAAGTGCTGGAGGTGTGAAACTTGCCAAGCCTAGCACAGCCCTGGGAAGGACCAGGAGGAACCTCACTCTTTCCCTTAGCCTGTCCACGGTCACACTGAAAAGACTCCCAAGCTTCGCCCCCCGTTAAACAAACCCTCTCTGGCAAGCTGCGGAGCTGGTGCTGGTGCTGGGCAGCAGCAGGGGGCTGCCTGCCTGCCTGCAGCCACCCGCTGCCTCGCTGCGCGGCTGCCACGTCCTCCCGGCGAGAGGGGACGATGCCCGTGCCCCAGGGCGGCAGCATCATACAGCAGATCCCGGTGCACTCAGGGGCCGTCACTGGAAATGTCATCGCTGTCACTGGGAATCAAGCCCTCTTCGCTCTCAGGGGCTTTCATCTCTTTTGTTGCAGCAGTGCAATGGCTGCAGGCACCATTAAAGTCCTGTGCCCACATTTCACTGCCAAATGGCCGCACTTAATGACATGGATACTGAAGGCACCTACTTATGCTGCTGGTTTTTCACTTTCACACCCAAAGCACATGCTAGCTGGTTGCCATATTTCAGATGTTGCCGTGTGTCAGTGATTCAGCCTGGAAAAACCTTCTCTGTAGCTTGCTGTCACATCGTGATTGATACCAGCTGTAACAAGATAAAATGTTATGGCACTGTAATTCTGTCTGATGCAAGGTAGTCTTTGATCTTTACCATTTTGCAAAGATTATAATATATACTTAGTTTGATAAATAATACCCTTTCACCAGAGTCACAAAAAGTGGAAAGAAAATTGGCATCTAAAGTTTTGAAACTTCCCTGGTAAAGATGCTGATGCTTTTAAAGCAAAAGGCCAAAGAATGGGGAGAAAGTCCCACTCACCTAGTTGTGAGTAGCTAGAAAAGACAAAGCCATATCAGATCAGCAGCCAGTCCAAGCTGCTCCCCGTGTGTGTAACACCTGCATCAGGGTGCGTGGGCGGTGGCAGCAGGAGCCAGCAGTGCAGGGGGAGCAGTGACCGCTGGGCTGGTGCAGGGCAGGAGAATGTGCTCCGGGGGCTTCTGCAACTCTGAACCAGGCTGCTGTAGAGAAGTTCACCCCAAACACTGATTTCTGGTTGAACTCCAGGAAACGGCACGTGCAGTTCAGAGCTAGGGCAGCCCCAGGCGTGGAAGCGCTTGCATGCCCAAGGAGCGGGTGCTCCAGTGGGTGGCAGCTTGGCCCCCCAGGCTCCCTGGGACAGCCAGTGGTCAGCAAACAAAATCCCCAGTGTGTTTTCTTGGACTCACTACTTGAGGTGAATTGGGATTTAAGTTCCTGGATGCTCCTCTAAAGAGGCTTAGAAAGACCTAAAGCTGTCATCCTATTGGTTTTGTTCTGCTTTTGAATTTGAACCATTACTTGTATCATGGGAAAAATGAGCAAAAATCAGCACCGCAGCCATGAGAAAGTGTTCTCGTCAGGTAATCATTTATTAAAACATTTCAACCAGCTGGTATAAATGTGATTGTCATCAGAACATGACAGGCAAATATGTGCTCCCATCTGCACGGGCAAGCCGGGAGGCAGTCCCTGCAGGGGACTTCTCCTCTGCCACCCGTGCAGCCTGTGCCCAGCGCAGGGCACCCGGCAAGGCCCATGTGTGCTGGGGGGCTCCGGGTGGCCGTCAGGCACCACGAGGGTCCTGAGCTCGGATGGTGGTAGGGTTTTACTCTGCCAGGAGCCTGACGGCCTTCACGGCAAACCTCTGCAGCTGGGCTCAGGTTCCGGGCAGAGGCTTGCCAGAGCCGTCTCAAGGGGATGGTCATGCTGGCAGCGGGCTTCAGCGTCAGAGGGTGCTCTGCCAAATCCCTGAAAGATTCCGCATGGCACGAGGGGGGTGTAACTGCAAGGCCGTGATTGTTTTCCATGTAAATGTCTGTTTTGGTTTGTGCTTAAATGATTATCTGTCATTGATTTGTGTGCCTAACTACTACCGCTTCAAGCTGTTTTCAATTATTCTGTTCTCAATACGCTGCGATCCCAAGGATTAGCCATACCGAGCACCACAAACCACCTTGCAGCAACAGAGCCATAAACTGAGTAGGCTAGAAAGGATTTTAATGTGAGATTAAAGGGAAGAAGTGACTCGCTGAACAGCAGCAAGGAGGGAGTGTGCAGTCTCTGGCTGCAGCAGAGCTGCTTCGTGATGCCTCAGAGTGCACTGAAGATCCCAGGTTAATATAATAATTCTTCTTTCCTTATCATGCTGATTTCTGGTAATGATTTCATAATTAGGGGTGTGTTTACAAGAGGTCTTGAAGTGCAGCATATGCTCTGGCTTTGCTCTAGGAGGAGGTGGGTAGCTTCACTGTAGTGTTGCACAGGGCTTGTTTCCTTGCCTGCTGATTTTTCCTTGTAAGTTTTGTCTCGTTTCTTTCTCTGTACTTTTAATTGAAAATCTGCACCTTTGGAGAGAAGCTGTATTTCTCCTTGGCAGCTCACTCTTCCACCAGAGCTGGTATTTTAAAAGTAAACAATGTTCATCTACACCAACTCCAATGAGCTGAGCTGAAAGAGGGGCTGGTGCACTGAACGATGGTGGTTTTTTTCTTTGAGAACGGTAGGTGTTCAGCCATCAATTGCCCTTAAAGCTGCTATTTATGCACTGCGCTCCCAGCCCTGACTTACAAGGGTTGCACACACACAAATCTCATGGCATACCATTTCCCTGCTGGGAGACATAATTTTGCCAGATTTCATCCCATGGCAGATATCTGCATATGTGTCACGGTGAGGGGGTGAAGGCCAGGAGGTGGCACCGGGGAAGCTTCAGTCGGCAGCACCCCGCGGCTGGCAGTACCCCATGTCGGGGCCTTCCTGCCCCGTGCTGGCTGCCATGGGAGTCT